TATTCTGACCCTCTTGAGAGCCCAGCTTTGTCTGCTTTATAATTTCTTTTTGGGGGTGGGTTTGAGACAGGGTCTCAGTATGTAGTTGAGACTGACCTGGAACTCACTACGTAGCTCAGGCTGGTCTCAAACAGTGATCCTCCTGCTTCAGCCTCCCAAATACTGGGATAACAGGCATGTAGCACCACGCCCGGCTCTGCTTTATAATTTCTAATTTATGTAGTTAACTGCAATACTAGCACAAGATTTTTCTAGCTATTTTTACTGCCTACTTATAGCCAACTAGCATTTTGTAGTCAGAATGCCATGATTTTAATCTTGAAACTTTGTTGACATTTGATTTATGAACAAATATATGTTATACCTAATTGCGAGAGATTATAGAGAATCACCAACACTCTGAGCCAATTTGAGTCCTTCATTGCTGGCTGTTGGGAGTGGTTAGGGCTCAGAATCTCCTGACTCTGAAAAGCAGCTTGTGAGTTTCTTTTGAGCAGCTCTTCTAGTTGGGGAGGGCTCAGGGAAAAGGGGAGCACAAGTGAAATTTTACAGAAGAAACATTGTGTCCAAGTTGCAACGTCCCCAAAGACTACCAAGGAGTCAAGTCCGATGTAATTACATGAGGAGTTTCTTACAATACAAGCTCAAGCCTAGACCCTCGTACTTCACCGACTGAGTGGATCAGAAAACGAGAGTCTTGACCCATTTTTGAAGCAGGATTATATAGGGTTGGAGAGGCTTTCCCTTTTTATTGATGCTATTTTTATCTTTTGATTACTGTTGGATATTATTGGGGTACTTACTGGAATAGGAGGGTACTTACAGGAAATTAAGGGAGGGGAGATTTAAAGGGTCAAGTTCCTTTTTCCAAAGAACTTTTGATTAATCAATTAAACAATTTTACATTTAACAAAGCATGTGATTCAACATATGATTTTCTAACTATCTTAAACAAGTATTGGGAAGAAGATAGATTCATCCTTGGGTCAGTCATCCTTGGGTCAGAAAAAGAGGAACAGAAGAACAAGAACAGAGAAACAGGGAGGAGGTTGTTATATAGAAGGGAATTTTTACAGCTCTTTGCCCAGAAAACCTGATCTTTATATTCTGAGTAAAGGTCAAAGAGGGAGACCACCTTGATCAGAAAACTTGGGTTTTACAGCAATACTTTGCTAAGTTAGTGGGGGTCAGGGGAAGTTTCACACAAGTGTAGTTTAAATAAAATATCACACAGGTAGGTAACACACACAGCTGTAGACTGCCCTACCAAACAGGATGTGTTGGTCTGTCATGCATCAACCAAGGGACTCCTGCAATGGGGGATGGGGTGATCACCTGGAATCACTCAACTTTACACAAAATGGAGGGGAAAAGGTGATGAGGCACAAAACAGAGTCAGATTGGCTATCATGATACATTTAGTGAAAAGGCTTTATATAAACTGGGTGTGGCACCTCGCATCTGTAATCCCAGTGCTAAGGAGGCTGAGACGGGAGAATCAGCATGAGTTCAAGGCCAGCTTTCACTACACAGGATACCCTGATTAAAAAAAAAAAAAAATTCAAACCCAGCCTGGGCAATTTAGTGATTTAGAGAGATCTTGTCTCAAATAAAAAATAAAAAGCCTGGAAATGTAGCTCAGTGAGAAGGCCCTGGGTTCAATCCCCAGTACCAAAAATAAACAAGTAAAGCCAGGAGTGGTGGCGCACATTTGAAATCCCAGCACTTGGGAGGCTGAGGCTTGAAATAGCCTGAGCAACACTCCAACAGTAAAAGGATTAAGGGTATGGACAGGGCAGAGTGATTGTCTGAGTGAGACAGGCAATGCCCTGTATTTGATGTCCAGCACTTAAAAAAAGGAGAGTAAATTTGTCTTCAGTTAAAACCATTGTGCTGGGCATAGTGGCATACATCTGTAATCCTAGCACTTGGAGGGAGAGGCAGGAAGATCATCAGATCATCAGATCATCGTGAGTTTGAGGCTAGCCTGGGCTACATAGCAACACCCTATCTCAAGACAAAAACAAAAACAACAAAAAAAGTTGAAACCATTGAGTGTCCTGCCAGCAAACCTTCATTACTGGAAAAGCTAACGTATATACTTCATTTTTTTAATACTATTATTAAGGTTATTGTTTTACTTATTTATTTTTGTTTTGTTTTTAGGTAGGGTGTCACTATCATTCAGATTGAATTTGAATTTACTGTCTGCCTTGAATTGGAACTCAAGGTGCTCCTCCTGCCTCAGCCTCCTGAGTGCCGGGATTATAGATGTGAGCCACCATACCCAGCATAAAGCATATACTTTAGCAGTAAGGAAAGTGACTTCAGATGGAAGATACAAGAAGAAACAAAGGGCAAGAAGAATAGTAAATAGTGTATTTAGATCACTCTAAAATATCAGCTATCAAGCTGGGCATGATGGTGCATGTTATAATCCCAGAACTCAAGAGGATGAGGAAGGATGGCTGTAAACTCAAGGCCAACCTGGGCTATGTAGTTCAAGACCAGTCTAGAATTCATAGGGAGACCCTGTCTCAAACAAACAAACAAAAAACAAGAGAGAGAGAGAAACAAATAAGTTATCAAACAATGATAAGGTTTAGTGATACTTAAATTTAAAAGCAAGATAGTACTAAAACATAAGAGGCTGGGTATGGTGGTGCACCCCTGTAATCCCAGCACTCTGGAGGCTGAGGCAGGAGGATTGCCACAAACTAGAGGCCACCCTGCTCTACACAGTGAGTTCAAGGACAGCCTGAAGTACATAGTGAGACCTTGTCTCAAAAAAAAAAAAAAAAAAAAAGGCCAGGGATTCAGCCCAGTGGTTCTACCACTTGCCTTGCAAACAAAAGGACCCTGAGTTCAATCCCTGGTACAAAAAAACAAACAAACAAAAAAGGCCAGGGATTTAGCTCAGTGGTTCCGCTTCCTGCTTCAGAAACGCAGGGTCCCAAGTTCGATCCCCAGCACCAAAATAAATAAATAAATAGGTCATAGGAGAAAAGTGCCTAATACATGGGCATAACCAATCTCAAAGGGTTCAGAAGCTCCAGGACTCAGGTGGCAGCTAATTTAAGTGGCTGCTTCTGAATTCAGCAGAAAAAAGTAACCATAATTAGTGCGTTTACTCTAAAGTACTCAAGAGTAGTCCCCAAAGACGCCTAAATCCCCAAGTCATAGCCAGAACATCCTAAGGGTAATCAACAGCTCGAGGGGATCCCTTTCCCCATGGATTCTGAAGAATGTCACGCATGCTGGGTTAAATTGCAGGGCGGCCTGATGCCTGTGCCCTAATCAATTCCCTCCTGGTGATGGAAGAGAAGGTAGGGAGGAGGAAAGGGAGGAAAGCAGCATGGAATGGCGAGGAGGAGGAGGGAAGAAATGAGGATAATGTGACGAGGGAACCCCTGTTCTCCTCATGTGGTCCAATGTAACTCTTCATTCTGATGATGAAGAATGAAGTTGACAATCCAATGGGAGAAGTTAGGGGAGTTTTATTCAAAGTAAGAAGAAAAAGCTCCCAAGCCGGGCGTGGTGGTGGAGGCCTGTAATCCCAGCACTCAGGAGGCTGAGACAGGAGGACCGCTGTGAGTTCGAGACCAGCCTGGGCTGCATAGTGTGTTCCAGGTCAGTTTCAACTACATAGTAAAACCCTGTCTCAAAAAACCAAAAAAGAAGAAAGAAAAAGCTCCCAAAAGATGTCCACCCCAAGGGGATTCCAAATGGAAAATCTGACCTGTGATCTCACCCTGCTTGTCTGCAAATAAGCAGAGCTCAGGAAGCAGCTTATTCCAGAGGACATGAGTTCAGAAGGAGTTGGGGTACCATGCATTTCCTTTTCTCAGATCAGGGTGACATCTGGGCAGGAATAGGTGAGAAACCCGGGCTGACATAAGAGACTCCATTTTGTTTAAAGCCCACCCTTCGGTGGTTTAGCTTGTCCTCTGTGCAACCTCAAGATTTTCCTTCTGGGAAAAACCCACCTACTGCCCTTTGGAGACCACAAAGAGTGCTTGTGGCTACCATAAAACTGACATAGCAGGAAGGGTTTAGGAGGCTCACCTGCCAGATGTACTATCTGATCCCTATCTGAACTCTGGAGTTTTCCTGTGGGAAGACCCACTCCCTAGCTGAAACATTTCATGCTATTCTGGTTAAGATAACGGGAGATGCCTTTAATTGTCCCAGAGGTCCCAGATGTCTTAGCTGCGCATTCCTTCTCGCTTCTGTAAATGTGCTTTAGGCTTAGATAAGGAAGTTTACACTGAGGTAAAGGGGAGGGGAAGAGGGAGTAATGGGTTTTTTTTTCTTCCTATAAAAACTGTACTTATTTTCAATTTGGGACCTGACTCTGTGGCCAGTTCCGCTGGAGGGTGGATCCTGGCTGGTAAAATAAAATTCTCATTTGGACTTTATCACCATGTCATCTCTTGGGTAAGTTACTGGGCTTACCCAAGTCGCTGAGGGACTGGGCACAGCAGTGGCAGGAACTGTGTGGCTGTTTAGTATGCTTGAGAGAATCTTTCTCCTGGAAGGGACAGTCCTTCTCTATCTATTCCCATCTGAACCTTTTGTCCTCTTTTTTTTCTTTTACACTTCTAGTCCTAACCAGCTGCTTGATCAACTGCTGCTGCTTAAAGATGTGGCCATTTGAATGAGCTCCTTTATGGACCCCCACATGAGCTGCTCTAATGTGCCTGCTTATGACTCCTAAACTAGGGTGCAACAGCAGCACAAGACTCATCCTGCACCCGAGAAGTGCTACTGGGTTCTGCAGTGGACATCCTGAGTCTCCAGTCCAATTCTGACCCTAAGTAGGGATAACAAGGTTACCAGGCATGTAATCTCAGCACTCGGGAGGCTGAAGCAGGAGGATCGAGAACAGCCTGGGCTACATAGTGAGTTCCAGTTCAGTCTCAACTACACAGTGAGACCCTGTCTCAAAGAACCAAAAAAAAAAAAAAAAAAGTGAGTTCAAAACCAGCCTGAACTACATAATGAAGCACCCCCCCACCCCACCAAGGTAAGAAGGATGGGGATGTAGATTAAGTAAAGCACTTGATTTTTATGCAGATCATTGTAGCTCAACAGGGGGATTTTTTAAAACCATAATCCTCTTTCCTCTGCCTCCCAGAGTGCTGGCGTCACAGACATATGTCAGCGTGCATGTGCTCTGCAAACTCTTTTTCTTATGAACTTTTGTATGAAAGTATAAACAAGGGCCTGGGATTTAACTCAGTGGTTCTTACACCTGCCTCTCAAGTGCAAGGTCCCGAGTTCAATCCCCAGTACCAATACACACACACACACACACACACACACACACACACAAACTATAATCAGGATCTTTTTCTTTGCGGTACTGAGGATTGAATTCAGGGCCTTCACACTGTGCTACATCCCAACCCTTTTTATAGTTTTTATTTGGAGGTACTCTCACTACATTGCCCAGGGTGAACCGAAACTTGTGAACCTCCAGTCTCAGCCTACCAGAGCACTGAGAGTACAGGCTGGTACACCAGGCCTGGCTAATCAGGATGATTGTCACTCATCCTGACTTTGCAAGCAGGTAAAGATAAGGATCTTACTGTGAAATAACCATTCTTGTAGGAGCTATTACAATAGAACTCCTCAAACCAGTTACCAAGTGGATAACTTCTGCAGAGGTAAAATGTAGTGCCTGGAGGCCAGCGAGATAAGGGCTTCCTGCAAGTTTAGAAATAGCCTTTACCCCTGCCTTTTGCATCTGACCTAACATTCTCAGGACTACTAGGTAACCCTCAGAACACCTGTTAGATTTGATTAATCATAACCTCACAAAGGACAGTCCTTGCCTTGACCAATTTCCCCACTAAGAATGCATTAAGATACCATCTCAGCCCAGTTGTTTTCAGGGTTCTGGGTGCTATAGACTCCTTCTAGATTCTTTCTAGGTTGTTGTCCTGAAGAAAGAATTCCTGAAGACATGTGAAAAAGGTAGTGAGGTTTTACATTTAGTAAAGGTGTTAAAGGCAGGAAAAATTTTGGTTCCTCGCTCTCAGAGGTCAGGGTGCAGGGGCAACGCCACTCACTCCTGAGGGTCAGGAAGCTCAGGGCAGAACGCCATCTTCAGTGCCCTGACAGCTGAGGGTGCTCTCAGACAGCATGGCTCCTGCCCAGGATGTTGCCCAAGACAGTGTGCCTGGCTTACTTGTCCCACAGGGTCCCAGACAGGCAGACTTAGTATGACAAAGGTCACCTCATGAAGGCAGAATTACAGAAACTAGTCTCTAGAGGTTATGGTGCCGCTTTGCCCAAAGTGGTGCCCAAGGCCTGTGGTGAAGATTCCTGAAGGAGATAGCGCATGCCTGTGGTAAAGAGTCCTGAAGGAGATAGCGTGTGGCTCCAGGCAGTGACAGTGCTGTCCCTGCACTCCAGGAGGCTGCAGCTCTTCCCCCGGTGGCTGCCAAAATGCGAGTGTGAGTGACACTGTCTCTGAAGTGTGAGTGCTGGGGGGGGGTCTCCCTACAGACCACCAACCACACCAAGTAGGAGCAAATCAGCTTTATCGCCAGTGGTTTCAAGGGATTCAAATCACCTTGAAAGCATGAAACAGGAGTTTACTCTGACCCTCATACCTTTATGTTTCTATGGGAGAGGGAAACAGCAACTGTCGGTGTGAGGAGACAGCCATCAGTCTAAGCATAATTACATAAGCAGAAGGGCAATGAAGGCTTGGCAGGGCTTTCCAAGATCACCTTGCTCTGCTCTAGTGAGTCTGCATTATATCTTTCTCAGCAAGCATAGTTACAGTTAACCCATAGTTGCCAATTTTCACACCAGGAGATGGTTTCTGCCCTCCTCCCAGCCAAGACTGAGGATGGCCTGTCCCCATGAGAGGCTTGCACCCCTGGGGACATAGAGGAGCCTGATAGGAGTCTGGGGGGGGTCCACACTAGTCAGCGTCAGCCACAGTTAAAATCCAGGCACCGCTGCTTCAGATGGACGACAGTGTCTTTCTAGATGACGACAGAAATCAGGTAGGACCTTTGATCATTGAGGCCGCCCCCTCCAGCTTCCAATCCCCAAGAATCCATGCCAGTCGGTGCCTTGGTGGAAGGCTTCCCGAGGAGCCCAGCCTTAGCCCTCAGGGCCTGCCAGACCCCATGCTGCAGGCTTAGGAGATCAGATGTGGAGCTTTTGAACACCCACCATGCTTGTCTTACTGTCTCTCGCTTTGAGCAGGCACCTTTCTCACCAAGGGATGGGTGCTTCTGATATAGACAGCTAAGTCAGAAATATTGTAGGTAGTCGGGACAAGGCTGGGCCCTGGAAGTCAATACAGAGGGTAACACTGTGGCTGTGGCTGGAGGTGCATTTGAAGAAGATTGAAATCACAAAGGCTAGATTTGCATTCTTCCCTAACGGAGAACAGATGCTTGAGATTATTGGCATCATCTTTGGGGTTTCCCTAAAGTAGACCATTATCTCTTTGGGGGTGGGCCAGCCTCTCCCACCCACTAAAACCACTATGACTAAGAAGACTAAGACTGCAGATCATTGACCAAGGTTAATGATGCCATCCATATGCCCCTGTTACTATTGGGTCAATTATACTCGTAATCTTATTGGTTGGTTATAGTTTTTACCTGCGTTGTACCCACCCCCAATGAGGCGACTTTGCTCTATAAAACTACCTTTGAGAAGTACGTTCCTTGGCACCATTCAGGACCCCTCCTCCCTCCCAGGAGCTATTCGTATTCCCCATTCCTATTCCCCAGTGGATTTTCCTACTCTTAACCCCTCTTGTTCCTTAGAATTCATTCTTCGACAGATAAGCTGAGTGCATGTATCTGACATCTAACATGTTGGGAGTTAATTTGTTCTCCCAACATCACTCAGACTTGGTTGCTTCTGCTCTGCAAGACCCAGAGCTGATGGAGGTGTATTACAGATACAGGTCAAATGTGGTGTCACTAGAGACTCAAGTCCCTGTTTTCTTCCCCCCTCAGGACCTGCCACCAGGCTCTTCATTTTGTCCTTCAATGAGCAGACAAGAATCAAAGAAACTGCATTTCAGAGTCAAAGATGATGAGGATGACAAAGACGCAGAAAAGTGGAAAACACACAAAATGACTTTTTGTATATTTCACACAATTAATGATTTGATGATATGAGACCTGACTGAGCTAAAGTGATTCCATGTTGGATGAGTAACGGCCCCAGAGGCCACTGTGTACCACTCCCCTTTGTAGTTGTACCCTTACCTACATTTGAACCTTTGCTTGGGAATGTAAGACTGCATAATTTTGTGTAATCTTTACTGCATAACTTTGTGATCTTAAATTCCTAGCCCCAGTTGAGATAAGATCTGTGCCATATATAGAAATCCAAAGTGAATTCCTTTACTGCTTGCTTGTCCGAAATGCCTTAGAGACCCCCCCCCTCCCGGAATCATCTTTTTTTGTTTTTTTGTGGGGGGTACTGGGGATCAACTCGAGCCCTTGCTGCTTGTGAGGCAGGCACCGGAACCACTGAGCTAAATCCCCACCCTCCGTAAGCATCTTTTCATCATCAGCGTGTGATTGCTGAGTATGTGGCTGCTGACCACCGGCAGACCAGTAGCCTTTGTCCCCTGCCTCCAGGCTTTAAACAATAACCCCTGTCTGTTTCCTTTCCAACGTGTCCTTCCCCGGTGAATCTAGTGGCTGTCGAGCTCTTTGGAGTGGTAATTTTGGGCTGTTCAGAATGGTTTTGAGCTCTTAGGAGCAGTAGTAAAGCGGCCTTAGGTCTTACAATAATTGAATAAATCATAAGATTTATATAAAATGCATCTCCAAGGCAATGTATTTTAATTAAACTTTATTTTTATTTTTATTTATTTATTTAGAGTCAGGGTCTCACTATGTAGTTGAGACTGACCTGGAACTCACTATGTAGCCCAGGCTGGTATCGAACTCACAGTGATCCTCCTGCCTCAGCCTCCCAAGTGCTGGGATTACAGGTGTGCGTCACCATGCCTGGTTTCTTCTTTTTTTTTTGGTACCGCGGATCAAATTCAGGTCCTTGTGCTTGCGAGGCAGGTGGCGGAACCACTGAGCTAAATCCCTGGCCCACATGCCTGGCTTCTTAAATTGAACTTTAAAAGTGACCAGTGGCAGAGAACAGCGCAAAATGCCAGGCACGTAGGGCAGGTTTCCTTGCAGGACTACAAGCTGCCGCAGCACTTACTGGACTGGGTCGCCTGTGGGGCTCAGCATTAAATGAGAATGATCTTCATGAGGAAAGCTTTTCACCAAACCTTGTCACACAGATAATATCCAAACTTACTGTCCATTATCAAAAGCTGTTGCGTCTTGAGATTGATTCAATGCCAGTCCCTAAAGGACTCTCCTGTATTTCTGAATATGAAACTGCTTACCTTGAAAACTAGAATATGTATTTTGAAAAAAAAAGAACTATGTTCTGCAGAGTAAGTATGTGCCAATTAAAGGTAGGAAAAAAGGTGCACTGCGCAGAGGGAGAGCCAACTACTGAAAGGCAGAGCACAGCAGGCAGGAGCTCACTAGAGGCCATCTTGAGCATCTCCCAGTCAGGCTGATGTCAGATCTAGGCTGTTCTATCAAAAACCGCTAGCATTCTCCTCAGAATTGAAGATAGCACTTTCTGATTGGTCCCAGTACAGGCACTGGGCACATGTGTCCTGGAACTCTGTGACTGACAGGTCACACCCACTTGTTCTGGGGGTGGAACCCAGCGCCTCTTGCCAGCTAGGTCAGTGCTGTTCCTCTGAGCTACACCCACAACCAGAGAAAGAGCTTCACAACAGTAAGAGAAACTAGACCATCAAGGAAAAAATTATGACTATAAAAAGACATAGAAGAAAATGTGAGTAATTAGGGAAAAATACTATGCTCTGGATTGAAGAACTCAATACACAGTAAAAAAAAAAAATTACACGAGTCAGGAGGATTGCAAATTCAAGGCTAGCCTAGGCAACATAGCAAGACCCTGTCTCAAAATCTAAACAGGTCTGGGGTGTACCTCGGTGTGAGGGCCTTAGGTTCAATCTCCAGTACTGCAAACACAACAAAACAAAAGCGCACGAGAAGCAAAGTTTATTGGTGACAAAGTAAGCAACGGGAAAATTCGTGCCCTTCTGTTGGTACAAATGGTACTGTGAAATTTCAGTAAAAGCTGGGTGTGGTGGCGCACGCCTGCATCCCCAGCACATGGAAGGCTGAGGCAAAAGGATCACTGCATGTTCAAAGCCAGCCTGAACTACATAGCAGAGACCCCCGTCTCCAAAAACAAAAAGTAAGCCTAGTGTGGTAGTGCAAAACAAACAAGGGACTTCCTAAAACAGGGAGTTGTGGCAGTGTAAAACAAACAAAACAAAGCAAAAAAAGATGTGTTATGTACATGTACTGACTCCCCATGAGGGATATGATAGTTATATACTACAAACATGTACTAATAAAATATAAAAATCAAGAAAAAAATTTACAAGGCAGTTTGCAGAGGTTAAAATCCAGATTGGTCAGCTGGGTGTGGTGGCACACGCCTGTAATCCCAACACTCAGGAGGCTGAGGCAGGAGGATTGCTGGGAGTTGGAGACCAGCCTGGGCTACACAGTGAGTTTCAGGTCAGTCTTAACTACATAGTGAGACCCTGTCTCAAAAAAAAAAAAAAAAAATGTCCAGACTGGGCAATTTAACAACTGAGCAAGACCCTGTTGTAAGACCAAGGGCCTTAACCAACTGCTCTGAGGAGCTAACAGCAGCGAGGAACACCCGGGAAAGAACACACTGGACAAGTTGTAAAGTGAAACAGACCTTTATTAGTCTGGCCAGATGGCACTCCTACAGCTGAGTAGCTCAGAGAGGCCACTAGCTCAGAGTCTGAGGCTGTTTTTATAAGGGGCTGTGGGTGGAGTTAACTCTCAGAACTTACAGGAAGGGGACAAAGTGGTCAGCTGATCTGAGCTGGTGGTCAGCAGTCATGTACTAATGGTCAGCAGACCATTTACCCATTGTTTCATAGATTGTGGTGACCAGCTGTGAGGACCAAGTTTCCAGGTCATGGTGGGCTCCATGCCCCTTACCCAGAATAGAGTAAATGCAAAAGTTCCTTTCTGAAAAATCCCATTCTATGTGACAGTTTCTCTGTGCTTCGGTTCCTCTTTTAGGGAATCTCTACCCTGCTTCTGTTCCTCTTTTTAAGATGTTAAGATAAGCTTCTTTTTATGTGATTTAATTAATATAGGAATTAGTTATAGCTGACATAGGAATTAATTATAGTTGACATAGATAGTTATGCATCTTAGTTAGCAAAAATTGATGATCTAATGAAAAGAGGAATTAATTCTGCGAATGTAGGCATTAGGTAATTTTCCAATACGTACCCTCCCAGTACCCCTTGATGATTTTGCAAATATAAGCATTAGGTAGTGTTCCAATGTGCCCTCCCGGTGCCCCTTGATTGTCCAATGATAAGAGAGAACTAAAAATAGCAATTATAAGCAGAAAAATCCTATATAAACCCACTTCAAAAATGGATCTGGGCTCTCAGTCTGAAGCCGCTGTGACGGTGACACCTGAGAGTCCAGGCTCGAGCTTGCAATAAACTCCTCTTGCAAGTGCATTGGACCTGACTCCTTGGTGGTCTTTGGGGACTTCTCAACTTGGGCATAACACAGCCAGGTGTGGTGGTGCATGCCTGTAATCCCAGCTCTTGGGAGGCTGAGGCAGGAGGATCGCTGTGAGTTTGAGACCAGCCTGGGCTACACAGTGAGTTCCAAGTCAGTCTCAACTACATAGTGAGACCCTGTCTCAAAAAACAAAAAACAAAACAAAAAAGATTGTGGTGTCCAGAACATTAGTTTCGGGTAAACAAGGAGTGGAGTAATTTACTTCGGGTCTTTATGTTTGTTACAGATTCCATCTAACTTCTCAGAACTACCAACCAATTACCCATTAACTCACATTTAATCACAGTGGGGGCTAGGAATTCAAGATTACAAAGTTATGCAGTCCCACACTGTCTCAAAATGTATTTATTTTTTTTAAATCTTATTGAGTTTATTGGTACTTTTTAAGTATACAGTACAGTTACATTCATCACTGGGATCTTGTACCTTTACGTGACAGATCTTGGTTCTCATTTTTCCCCCATACCACTGCCCTTCCCTGTCTCAAAATTTTAAAAAATAGAAAGGTCTGACGATATAGCACAGTGTGAAGGCCCTGGGTGTCAGGAAGCAAGGAAACAAGGAAGGAAGAAGGAAGGAAATGTGTTACAGGGGCAGAGCACATGGGTCAGTTGTAGGCATGTAGTTATTAGCATGCATGAAGCCCTGGGTTCACTGTGCCACACAAAAGAAAGGAGTGATAAAGGAAATGTCTTGTATATACAATGGAATATTATCCATTAAAAAAAGAATGGAATTTGCATTTGTAGTAACACTGATAGAACCGGAGAACATTGTTACATGAAACCAACTCAGGCACAGAAAGACAAGTACTATGCCCTCACACCAGTACTTGCCAGCTAACAGGATCACAAAGAAGTCAGAAAAAAGCCCGGGCAGTGGTGCACATCTGTAGTTCTAGCTATTCCGGAGGCTGATGCAGGAGGATTCTTTAAGACCACTTTGGGAAACACAGTGAGATTCCACCTCAAAAGAAAAAAAATGCTGTGGAGGATAAAATAGTGGGCACCAGAGGCTGTGGGAGGGGGCTTCAGGAAGGCTGGTAAGCAGGTCGGGAGTGCGGCTGCACAGGACTCTGACTCCTCATGTCCTAAAGTGCAGTGAGTGACTTCTTTTTTCTGAGACTATATCTCTCCAAGCTGGCTGAAAACTGGGATCATCCTGCCCCAGCCTCTTGAGTGCTGGGATTGCTTTTGTGCGCTGCTGCATCCAGACATGCATTCCCTAATTTGGGGAGGATGTTAGTAAAAACATGACACGGCATGCTGCAGCCTCTCCTGACTCTCTCCTTTGATACGTGATGCAATGTGTTACCCTCTTGTAACTTTTACAGCTTAATAGATTTTGTGTTCTGCCACAGGTAAGCATTTTACTCAATTATGAATGTGTGATTGTCAGAGGGCCAGGGATTTAGCTCAGTGGTTCCACCACCTGCCTTGAAAGTGCAAGGTCCTGAGTTCGATCCCTGGTATCAAAAATAAATAAATAAATATGCGATTTTTTGAGACAGGGTCTCACTATGTAGCTGAGACTGACCTGGAACTCACAGTGTAGCCCAGGCTGGTCTCAAACTTGCAGTGATCCTTCTGCCTCAGCCTCCTGAGTGCTGGGATTACAGGCATGTGCCACCACACCCAGTGACATTATTATTTTTCTTTTTGTGCTTCTAGTGATTCAAGCTAGGGCCTTCCCACAGAGCTACATCTTCAGCCTTTTATTTTTTTAATTTTGAGACAGGAATTTGCTAAGTCACTAAGTTGCCCAGACTGGGCTCTTTGCAACCCTCCTGCCTCAACCCCCCTAGAAACTATTCTATTTATTTTATTTATTTTTCTGTTATCAGTGTTCTTATAGTCATCTTTTTTTTTTTTTTTTTTTTTTTTTTTTTTTTTTTGGTACCAGGGATCGAACTTGTGACCTTGTTTGCTTGCAAGGCAGGTGGTGGAACCACTGGGCTAAATCCCTGGCTCTCCCATTATTGGTTTTTTAAGAGGAGAGTAAGCTAACATTTCAGACTGAATTAAATAGACAACGACCAGGTGTGTCTATAATTTCAGCTACTTGAAGTCTGATGGAAAAGAATAGAAAATTGGAGGCCAGCCTAGCCATTTAGCAGGACCCTTTCTCAAAATTTAAAAGAAATAGCCAGGAGCATTA